CAGTCTTCACCCATACCGTAATATACGTAAGAGTAGTGCAACCACATTTTCGGTGCGGCTGGCGGAGCGGCTAGCTTGACTGTGACTTCGTAAGTTGTTTTGTTTTTTTTTAAACTTTATTTATCACATTATAGACATACAGTCAAGTAAAACAGGGATCACATAAAAGATAACATTGTGGTAGTACAATGAGGAACAGAAAGAGTGACAAAGACAGTGAGACAAAAGTGAGTACAAAAAATAAAATAAATCAAGGGGAACATAAATAAACAAAAGTTTGCAAGAGCCAAAATCAAGTTAGCAGTTTCAATCGGTTACAGATGTTAACAGTCTTGAGAGCCTTCGTGTTTTTTGATGAGGAGATTGTCCTTATATATTGTGCAAGTTCCATTTTTAATACAAGAAGTTCAGGCTTTCTGCCGAGGACTTTGCTTTTGTGTATATGAAATTTTGCCAAAAATAAAACCAAATTTATAAAGAAGAAAGCATCATTGTCCTTGTCTTTAAAATTATAATAGCCAAAGATAACATCCTTATAGTACAGTTGGAGATTAGGGAGAACAGAGTCAGTAATAAACTTGTGGAAATCCTTCCAGAATTTACACGTAAATTTACGTGACCAAAACAGATGAGAAAGTGTTTCAGGTTGCTCTTGACAGAAGGTACACTTTACATTTATTTCAGCCATAAATTTGGACAAATATTGTTTGGTAGGGTAAAACCTATGAATCAACTTAAAGGAAATCTCTTTAATTTTGTTTGTCAAGAAAACCCTTTGTGGTAAAGTCCAAACTTTTTTCCCTTCAATATCTGTTACAAAATTGGCCCAATAAAATATGGCTGATGGAACAGAGACCATTGCATCCTGAATGTGACTTCGTAAGTGAGGGCTCTGTCACTACCTCACCTGACCGCAGTTGTTACGAAAGTCTACGTGTACAGGATGACGATGCTTGTCACACAAACGTGCTCTGTGATTGGCTGAACTACTTCCCGTTTCCCGTCGTGCACACACACGTGAAGGTCAGCAATAAAGCCATTAAGCATTTACAGTTTGCAAAATATTACTAGTACGACCTCTTTATAAGCAAGTATGGACAGCCAGGGAGCGACAGCTGACCCTCAGCTTCAGCAGTTCATCGAAATCGAGTCTCAGAAACAACGATTTCAGCAGCTGGTGCATCAAATGACGGAGGTCTGCTGGGTAAGATGAGCGTTACGCTACCAGCTCAGCTCTGCCATTTGCTATGTGCATAAATATATCTGGTTTTTTTGACTGATGGCTGGTGTGTCTTATATTATACACAATTTTAGGCTTCCGTTTTTACTGGCCGTGGACAGAAAACTATATTAAAAATGGATTTTAGCCGTTTACAAACACCGGGTCGCACCGCTTTTCTTAGGCGACCCTTACCGCTATGTCAAAGCAGGGATTCAGTAATAACGTGTTAGAGACACTATACTATTCACTATAGCCCGGCTTGGTATAGCTGGCGCTTTAGATAAGGAGTATCGGAGTGAAGCGAGGTGGACGGACATGTAGTATTTTTAATGTTCATGTCAAAGCGGGCCAAAGGCAGACGTGTGAGGTCACGAAGGACCGCCTAAGAATTTCCTGAATAACTGGTTTAAAAACACTTTTGGCTTCGACTTCGAGTGTCTGAGCAACACGTCCGAATCGTGGAGTGCCGCACTGCGTGCTGAGGTCACAGCTGGGGCACATCACGCGCTGACGTAAAGTTGGTACTTTGTAACAGGAACTCTGGCGCTGTATCCAATCTTGCCGTTACATTTCCTTTTAATCGTGTCTCTGTTTCCAGGAGAAGTGTATGGATAAACCCGGGCCGAAGCTGGACTCGAGGACGGAAGCGTGCTTTGTTAACTGCGTGGAGCGATTCATCGACACCAGCCAGTTCATCTTAAACAGACTGGAACAGACTCAGAGGAGCCGGGGGTCGTTCTCAGAGACCATGTCAGACTAAAAACTGTCTCTCAGAGCGCTAACGAGGCACACGGGCAGAGAGGGACCGTACCTCTGACCCTGCTGTCTGTACAGTACCTTTAAGAACTGTCCAGCCAATGGGGGGGAAAGGAATCTAAAGTGTTACCTTTTCATACAAGTGCCTGAAAGTAACATCGAGCATGGACTCCTGTAGTTTTTTTAATTTGTCTTCTGCTGGCACCTGAGTGTTGAGAAAAAACAAACAAAGCCACAAACCTAAACTCTGTTTTTGTCAAGTCACAGAGCTCAAGCTTTAAAACTGAGTCTGAATGTGAAAACTCACAAAATGTGCAAAAACACACTAAGCTGGCCTGCTGGGGGGGTTGACTTGCAGCAAGAGGACTTAACTACATGCTGGTGTAATGAAAGGAACTAAAGATGTCTTGACAGAAGAGGCATGATCAGCAGCCGAGGCTGAACATATGCAATAAATAAATTTAACAAAAAGAGAAACCAAACAATATTGTCCATCTTTTGGAAGAGTGCAGTGACATGATGTTGTAAATGTGTTTTAATCGGCATTATCAAACATCCAAAACACAGTTAACGCAGCGATTTGTTACAGCTTGCACACATTAGGTAGACATTTATACAAGTAGACAGCATTCTTTGGTGTGGTTTGTGTGTAATACTGAGGTAATTCAGTAACTGACATCATCGACTCAGAGCAAATTAAGACTTTAACACTGACTGCATTTAAATAAGCTCACACATTTTTAAGCATGATGAAAGCTAAAGGTGCAAAACTTTGGTTATAGTTTTCAGTAACAGAAGGCACAATCTGGCTTGTGAAGGCTACTTTTTAACTCAATATGTTGTAAAAAAACCAAAAAAAACCCAAATGTACACACCAGTATGATGTGGACAACTAATTTGAAATAAAATCCAGTGTACTGATAGCATTACTCTCATTTTAAAGCCTCCTCTCCCATCCTCCTCGCTTTTTTGTAAGATAGATTGTAAAGCTGTGATATGCATTAAAGTTTTAGAATGACTTTGTAGTGATAATAACAATACTGGCCCTCTTTAAGGTGCTCTCTGGTGTATACCCCACCCTCCATTTGTGGCTCCTTCTCTGGGAAGATTCATCTCGTCTTGTGCTTGCAAGTCATAGCTGGGAAGAGCCAAGTATGGCTGTTGGCCCCATGGAAAGCCCTGAGGACCTTTCCTCAGATAAAGTGGGAGGGAATCCCAGGTAAATGTAATGTCTTTAAAGGCATGGAGGAGAAAAATTCCCAAAATGATGGTCAAGAACCCACTGATTGTTCCCACTATTCCATCTATGTTCATTCTTAACCATTCCTTGAAGAGGATGGCCGAGCAGGCCATGACAGACGTGGTGAAGAAGACGTAATAAATGGGAGTCACTAGTGATGTGTTAAAAATGTCAAGGGCTTTGTTCAGGTAGTTGATTTGAAGGCTGACACAGATTACCAGGCAGATGATTAAGGCCCAGAACAAAGGTTCCTTCAGCACCGCTGTCCCGGCAAACAGCTCCTTAATGCCAATGCCCAGGCCCTTGACACAAGACACAGAGAGCGAGCCAATCACAGAGCAGATCAGGATGTAGACCAGCACATTCTTCTGTCCAAAACGCGGAGCCACAGCACAGATAAGAATCAGACTGCTTCCCACAACGCACACAGCAAACACAATGAAACCTAACGGGAGCATTCAAGAATGAGTTAGTAACCTGAAAAAAATCAAACATCCAGCTCCTTTCAGGGATTCAGCTTCCACAGTGTTGTTAATCAGATCACAGCAAAGCAGGTCTGGTCATACCTGGATCCAGGAGCTTCTCAGACATGGCACTGAGGGAAGCCACCTCTTCTTCCTGCGGTGCATGGATAACCATGACTGTGGAGCCCAAGACGCAAAGCAAACAACCGATCTTCCCATGCACATTCAACCTCTCGTTCAGAAAGTAAGAGGACAGCACGGCACTGGAGATGAAAAACATACAGAGCAGAGGCAGCATTGGCACAAATGGTACTGTTCCATATTTAGAAGGGTATTTCTTTCATAGTGGAAAAAAGTGAAAGCAACAGCTTTTAGCAAATATATAGATATTTCAAACCATAGTAAATATACTGTATTTATTGGGGATCATTTTCAATCTCAGATGCATTTCCAACATGCATCCTTCATTAATAATACTAGTATACAACATAACACATTAAACCTTTAAAACGTTTACCTGACAAGTACACTCAATGCTCCTAGTGGAGTCACAAGTGTGGCTGGTGCAAATGCATATGCGGCAAAGTTGGCAGCCTCTCCAGCTCCCACTGCAACACAGCAAAGATCGTCATTAGCATGCAGATATATTCATATCTGGTGCAGCTGCTTAGGTTAAATATTTTCTTCCAAACCCACATGTGCAAATGTGCTCTTTGAAGGAATGTGTACTTGGAATATTTGGTGTGGGTGCAGTGCTTACTGCCACGTCACCAGCAAAAAAAAAACAACAACCCACAAATGCCTTGTTTTGTTTTAAGAAAACAAAGAAGACAGTGTTTCTAGGAAGAATCCTGACCTTGTTGCCCGTTTACAGGGCAGGATTAAATCTGCCAAAGATTCACTTACTTGAAATTAATCCTGCCCACCACAGCCATTCTTTCAGGTAAGCGTGGCCCCCTTGACCTGTTAGTTGCACAAAGAGAAACTGCAGTAGATTTCACAATAACAGCTGCAGATTTCGCCCTCAAAACCATCATTGTTGGTACATTTATGAACAACCAGGTTAATGTTACTAATCATAAGTTACACAATGTACTGCGGTAGCTTGAATGTGCACAGCCCTTCCGATACCCGCTGTAGTATATTTTTATTATTCAGGTACACCTGTCTTCTTTTGCACTACAACATATAGCTGTAGTTTTCCACAACTTATCTCGATTTTATTTATGCAGTTCAAAACAGCCCACATCTGAAGGACCTTATGGATTATGATTAACTCATAAAACATGATATAAAGTTCTCAGTTACAAAGCCCGAGGTTTTATAAAGTAGTTTAAATCAATTCCATATCAAAAAGCTAAACTGCTGTTTATATAATAATAATAATACAGTAATAAGACATTAATAGAAATGCCTATGTATTTATGGAAGAACTATAGTCCATGAGTCATTTTGAGTCATTTTGAGTCATTTTGTCAAAAGCAAAATATTACATATTTACTGCTTCTTAAATGTAAGCATTTAATGCTTCTCTATGTCTTGAAGCTTTATTATACATATTAACTCCTGGTTAACTAGTAAATCCCTAAAAAGTAAATCCATTCTTTGTTTAAAAAACATACATAAATAAATCGAATTTCATTTGTAATAAGGGATAAATCTTTACTGTACCAGATGGGTGTGTCTTTTAGTAAACTCTTGTAAAACAGGGTTAAATACCACTGGCATACTGTGACTAGCAGCTTTGGTGCTACAGTGCAGTGGTTTCTGCATACCTGTCAGAATCACATAGGAGAAGTCACAAGGAAATCTCTTACATTTTTTTCTCAAATTAATATGCCACGTTTTCTCATAGTTGTGCTTTTTAGATGAGCTGACTTGTTTATTGTCACAGAAAAGTCCAATATTCTGTCATTTTCCCTCTGAAATGTCAGACTTCGATGCAATGATTACATTTTTAGTCTTACGTGATACTTAAGCGAGTAAGAGTCTCAGAGTATGTGAATGCAACACAGCTGCATGCCAACTAAGCTCCCTCCATCTTACTGTTGATAATGAAAGCTGGATCCTTTCCATCATGACAATTGCAATAACAATTCAGCTTTAAGGGTTATAAGGGTTACTTTATCGTGTTGTAGTTATTGTTGATACAACTACGTGTTCTAAAAATCTCTTCGCGCGCTCGCATAAACTTCGCTACAGTTGAGTTTTGTTGTATCACCTGCTCGCATGGACCCCTTGCTGGCCAATCGGAGCAGGCCTTTCTTCTTCAAGATGAAACTTGAGCCGATAAAAACACTGGAGCTCACAGCTAGTGAGAGGCCAATGTAGAAGTCCAACCGCGTCACCTCCATCTGAAACAGCGGATAATGCAGTAAAACATGTTCCGGGTGTAAAAATGGTCGACCTACTTCAAACACGAAACTTTCCAGGCATCGAGCCGGAAAGCTCACGTTTAAAGAAGTCACATGACAGGCTGACCGTACCGCGACGAACTGAAACTACCCGTTAAAACGACCGTAAAAGCGGAGCAATATGAAAGTACGTACCGCTCTGATTTGGTTGTAGTTTGTTTTAGTGCAATTCAGCTTTAGCCGGTCGGCTAACGTCACATTTTGTGAAATGTTTTACCTCCGTCGTCACATTAAAGCTATTCGTCACATTCATTGCGGACCGCGGGAGGAGAAGCAGCTGATTGGCTGGTCGTCACCAAGCAACTTCCTTGTGATCGTCTTGGAAACGGTTATCTGCTACCGGTCAAACAAACAGCTGCTCGCCATGTTTTCATACGGGATTACAGATTAAATTATTTTCGTGATATTTAGTTATAATGGCTGTTTTCCTTAATAACATCAACAAAGTACTGGAAAGAAAGAAGAAATAACAGATGTTAGAATATGATACTGATCAAACAGTAAAGGGCCAGTCTACAGTTGCAGGACATTTTCTGTGTGAAATACGACAACATGTTTGTTGTGTAAAACACACTTCTACTAAGATAAATGTACCTAGTTGTTTAAAACGTGGTTCCAAAATATTATTTAAAACACAGACAAATTGCATTTTTCTCTTGTCCCTACTTGCTGATAATGACATGTCTTATATACTATAGGATTTTAAATGAGTTTTACATTAACTTGATTGTTTTGAATTCGTTAACATATCTATAATTGTTCAACCTTTTTTAAACCTTTTCTAAACATCAGGATAGTTTAAAAAAAACCGTATATATCCACAGCAAGTTCCCACAAAATATGTGCAGACTTGTTACCGAAACCTATTTAGCCTCAAAAAGGAAGAGACAAAACAATGAGGTGGCATGATAAAGAAGAAGTGACATGATCAAGTCCCGTGCTAA